CCCCCAAAGGGGTCTCGACCCACAAGTTGAGAACCATTGCTTTAGAAGGAAAAAAGTGATTATTCCACAAAGGTGCCCACTTAAGAGACCGGTTAGAGATTCATTTTCAAACAAAACACTTGCCAACTATGACAACAATTGCTCATTTCACAAACACAGCTATTGCCTCTTCCTGGGATGGCTGTGAAGGATACACAGCAGGACTAAATATGCAAGTAAATGGATGGAAAGAGTCTTCAGAGGGCCATCGGAGGACATCAATCATGGATGGTCCCATTCTGACACAGCCCAGGCACACAGCAGAGTCTGTCCGTCTGACGCATTTCCAACACAGGACTCCCATGCGTAATTACCGTACAAAACACTTCAGAACCAAAAGGAAGGGTTTTCACTCTAGGGTGGTGGAAAGAGAGCAGAAATCAATATACATTGTTTTACGTTTCTGCGGTAATGAATAGTGAAAGAGATAAGACATGAACCCTCTGAAGTAACATAGTTTGGAGGCATTTCAATCCCAATGACTGGAGAGCTACATACCAAATAATTGGATTTGGATGAACTATGTCTGGATCTTGCTTGAAAAGAAAGTGTAGGAGTTAGACAGGAAACAAATGAAAAATCGAGTGGATGATTACTGAAGCTGGGTGGTGGTATATTTTTATTTTCTAGTCATTTTCTACTTTAATTTTTTTCCCCATAACAAGGTATTTCTCAGAAGATGGAAGAGGATGGAATATTATGTTGGATACCACTTCTGCCTTGCACTTGGAAAGCACGGTTCGGAACCTTAACCCTGACACATTCCCACCCTTGCCATATCACCGTGCTGTCCAAAAGAGAAGAGCTGCTGTTTCACACATGCAATGCGAGAAGACCCGTGTCAGGGTAGTGTATAGGAAGCCCTCCCCAAATCCACCACAGCCCACAGGCTTGACTAGGGCTCCCCACTCAAAGTATCACTGAGAAGTTGGTGAGATCGGGAACAGAAACCAACAAAACAACCAAGGGATAGGTTTTGATTAAACCCTCACAAGGAGGATCCTAATCCCAAATCAAAACCTTTTTATCCCAGGTGTCAAATACAAAAATCCTTCAAAGTCCATGGCAGAAAAAAAAGGGGAGGGGGGAATGGGAGGAAGTAGTGGTGCACGGCGCGCTGGAGCCCTGCCAGGCCAGGGCGCCCCGCCAGCCTCGGCACCCCGGTGAGCGCGCCCTATCCTCATTCCCACCGTGGCCGCGCGGCGTGGAGGTGGCAGAAGTCGGACACTGAGTGGCTCGGGGGCGCCCCCTGAGGTCCAGCGGCGTGGCAGCAGCCACGGCAAACGGAAAGCCGGCGCCGCGAAAGGCTCTGACATTTTAACTTTGCCTGGCTCGCAGGCTGCTGCACGCTCTCGCGCTAGCTAACTACGCTTTTCGTAACCAAAGCCCTCTGCATCGCGCCTCACACCATCGCCACTTCTCTAAGCGAGCCCTGTCCTCCCCTCGGCTCAGGGAGGACAGACCGTCTATTTACCTCACAGCAAGAAAGAAAACGAGGAAGACGAAATTTCTCAAAGCCCCAGGAAGGCGGCCTCACTGGCATCCCATTTTGGATTCCAAGCTTTCTCGGGCATCAAGAAAAAGAAATCCACGGTTGGCCCACTGGCTGCCTCCCGCAGCATAAGGAAAAGGCCAGGAGAGAAACTGGGAATTCCTCTTATTCCCCAAGGCTGTCCTCCGCTGTCCATCCCCCAAGCGTGGCCCTTGCAAAAGCTGACCCCTGTGGGCACCTGCCCCCCCCCCGCCCCCCACTCAGGAGGCATGTTTATAAAAGGGAGGGCTGTCTAGAAGGGGAAGATTTTTAACACAAATACAGAGCAATGGTCTTTAGGGGAGGGCGGGCTCGGGGGAGAAGTCCCCACTGCCCCTCGGCCCGTGGAGGCAAGTCCCCAGTGGGTGAGTGTGGACACGCGGCCTCGCACTCGGCCTCCTGGCCAGGTTTCGGAACCAGAGCAGGAGATCAGGGCGGCATCAGAGGAGGCGCAGAGGGTGCAAGGAAGAGGGGGGTGTCGACGAAAAGAGGTGCTTTGAGGGGCTGCCCTCTTAGCCCTGGCCCTTGGAGCCACCTCAGTGCCTGCAGAGGTGTCCCGCACTGCCGGTCTCCCCAGGGCGGGTCCCCGGGGCGATCGGAGGCGCCGCGCTCCGAAGCGCACGAAAAGGCTGGGGGTGGGGGGGG